GTGCTCGTGTCTCTGCCCCATCCGCCCTCTGCCCACTGAGAGGCGAGTGTGCACGTGTGTGCATGTTTCTGCCCTATCTACCCACAAGGCTCACTAAGGTGTCACTCCAAGTTGACACATAGACCATAAAAGAATGCATCTGTGGCCTTTGCCTTCAGCAAATGAAAAGGGATGGAGCTTGAAGGATGTGTCCTTCTTACCTCTGGCAGACAGGAGTAGTTAGGGATGAGAACTAGGGATAGAAGAACTGTTAGCTTCAGGGCCTCTCAGTGGTCCTTTCTAGGTGCTCAGAAATTAACAAATTCTTACTGTCCTGGGGTTACAAAAATGGTACTATAAACCCTGGATTTTTATTTTTTACTACCCACTGGGGTAGTTGACCTAACTGAAGTCACCTGGCCTTCATCAGTGTGGCTCTTTAGAATGGAGAAAGCCAGTGGCACCCAGGTCAGCACTGCACCCTCGCAGGCCCCAGTGCACTTGCACCCCGCCTTCCTACCAGGGGGCGGGTCTTTGCACAGACAGCATTAGACTGTCACATCTTGGGCAGGACTAGGGAGTCACAGCTCGACCACCTCTGCACCTCTGATTCCCTGGCCCCTTTACCTTCTGAGTTAGTCTCTGCTAAACGTCCCCCCAGTGATCCACACTGGGGTTAACCCCTATATTCCTGGGGCTGCAGAAGGACCACCCAAGCCAGATAGATCGATACCTGGTGTACGGAGAGGAATACAAGGCTCTTCGTGATGCCACAGCCAAAGCTGTCCTCGAATGCAAGGCCCTGGACATCGCGACTGCCCTGAAGGTAAGCTGGGCCACGGCTTCTCCCTGGACCTGAACGGCACCCTCTTCCCCAGTTCATGTTGAGCGATGCAGGGTGGTGGACCCTGAAAAGCAGCCCAATGAAGGGACGCACTGCATCAGAAGTCACGTGCCCATGACCTCTCTGGTGCACCTGGCCACGCACACACCAGGGGCTGGAACAGACAGCAGCAGTGACTGAGCAGGGCTGGCAGACTTGCTGTACCCTGCTGCCCACCGCAGCAGCCGTCTGTAGCTCCTTTCCAACTCACGTCCAGGTCCTATTGGAAAGTCATGTCTCCAGGATTCCTCTGACATGAAAGATGCAGACACAGCCAGCAGAATTCGTATCTGTATATTCACACGTAGGCTTATGTGTGTGTTTTAATAAAGACACAGGTTTTTAGAATCTAACCTCATCTAGTCTTGCTTCCTCTTTGGGTCTTTGTTTACCCTGGCTTGTGCCAGTGAGAGGAACTAGAAAATCCTATTTCTGTACAGGAAAATTTCTAAGAAAGTGAAGTAGTCAGAAGGAGAAAAGATGGTGATTTCTGTTAACTTCTGTCGTAAACTGTCTGATAAATATGTATTGAGTTTAATCTGAGACTGCTGTATGGACTGTGTATCCGCAGAGCTGTTGACCAGAAGGTGGCCCAGGGGGAGCAGGTCCCAGGCATCTGGGTGGGAAGGGCTCCCTTAGCCTGTGGTGGGTTGAGGCTGAGGCACATTCCATCTTCACTTGCAAACTCCTCAGCCTTTGGCCCTTAGACAGATGGGTACAACTCTGAAATTTTCTCTGATTTCCTTGCTTTGCAGGCCTGCAGGGGACCTAGAACTCACCAGGCAGTGCACTTACTGTTAGCACTTTTCAAAGAGGTGGCTGTTCTATACAGGTCCCCCAATGTAAACCTCCATCCGAAGCCAGAGGTGAGTGACATTCGGAGATGCATGCACAGTCTCATTATTTGGAGGGACTTGGGGGGACAAAATAAAAGTCCTAAACACAGGTTGTGCCCACAATTTTTTATCTAGGGTGGAGGTTTTCAACCTTGTTATGTAGAGGAACTATTTTCTGTTTAACCCAAAGTGTAAAATTACAATTAAAAATAAAGATACATGAGAACATAAGATAATGTTCTCATGTATCTTTATCAATCTTTATCTCATAATCATTATCAAAAAGATCATTTAATCTTTATCTCATAATCATTATCAAAATCAATGCTTAGGTATGTGATTGCTGTGTTTGTATATGCAAATTCTCTTTCATGAAGATTTTCCCATCAAATAGTGATAATTTCATCCATATTCCCCCTGATATTTGATCTGTGTTTGGTGTTTAATGTATACCTCACTCAGAGCAAACCTTTGAATTCATAGATTCTCTGATAATATCTTAAAAACTTTTTGCTGGCAGCAACGTGAGGCTGTAAACACATTCATTGAGGAGTGCAAGATCTTCTCACCCAACGTCAGACACTTTGCAACATCCCTCGTGGACAATACTCTGCCACTGCTGAGCACAGGCCCCAGTGACAGCAGCCTCGAAGGAGCAGTGACAGAAATGGCCGTTCACGCTGCAGTGATCCTTCTGTGCACACAGAACCAAGTCATGGAGCCCCTGAGGAACCTGGCTTTCTCCCCAGCCAACATGGCGGTAAGAGCAGGCTCCAGCTGCACCGGCCTTCCCGGGAACACCCCAGCAGTGTGTCTCTGGCCCGCCTGCAGCTCTGGAACTCCTGAGCCCCTTCTTCTTCTGAGT